TGTGTGTGGTGAAGACCATCCTGTCGCCTCACAGATGTCACACAAGGGAACTCCTGATAATAATGCCTTAGAGGCAGCCATACTCCGGGTTGAATGAGCCCGGACAGCCAAGGGAGAAGGCTGACCGGAGGACTCATAAGCAAGTGAAATGGCCTCGACCACCCACTTACTCATTCTCTGCTTAGACGCCGTAGAACCTCTCTTAGGAGGCCCAACGCAGACAAATAATTGTTCTGATTTCCTCCACAGGGCAGCTCTGTGGACGTACGCGTCTAAGGCCCTCACCGGGCAGAGCAGATTTAGTTTCTCCTGGTCTGGTGTCCGAAACGGAGGAGGACAGAAGGCCTGTAGCACTATAGGTTTGACAACCGTAGTTGGAACCTTCGGAACATACCCCGGTCTAGGGAGGATGAAAGCCTTCGCCATACCGGGAGCAAATTCCAAGCACGAGGGGGAAACCGACAGCGCCTGAATATCTCCAATCCTCTTTAGGGAAGAGATGGCTAGGAGAAAGATGGTTTTGAGAGTAAGAAACTTCTCAGGCACCTCATCAATGGGCTCGAAAGGGGCTAAACAGAGCCCCTCCAACACAACCGCTAGATCCCAGGTCGGTACCCTCGTACGCACTACCGGCCTCAGCCTCAGGATACCACGAAGGAAACGGGTTACCAGGGGATGTCTCCCAAGAGAAGCTCCACTCAAAGGGACATGGTAAGCGGATAGGGCCGCCACGCACACCTTTAGTGTGGAGTACGATAACCCTGTGGAGAAGCGTTCCTGAAGGAATTCCAGCACTGCCGGCAACGGGCAGTTAACTGGATCCAACTGTCGCTCTCCACACCAAGAGGTATACAGTTTCCACCTCAAGGCATACAACTTCCTCGTGGATGGGGCTCTGGACTGGAGGATGGTCTCCACGACCTCAGTCGAGAGACCTGAATCTATGAGCTGGGCCCCCTCAGAGGCCAAGCCCACAACCTCCACAGTTCCGGACGGGGGTGGAGTATCCCCCCGTCTGCTTGAGACAGAAGGTCCCTCCTGACCGGAATCTCCAGAGGAGGACCCTCGAGAAGGGAAATCCGCAAGAAGGTCCGCAAACCATACCCTGGTTGGCCAACGGGGGGCCACCAGAAGTACACTGACCCCCTCCTGGCGAATCCTTTCCAGAACCCCTGGGAGCAGAGCAATTGGGGGAAATGCGTACAGGGGTGCCATGGCCACTCCTGTACCAACGCATCCAGCCCCAATGGAGCTGGAGGACTCAGGGAAAACCACAGCGGGCAGTGTGAGTTCTCCCTGGACGCAAAGAGGTCCACTTCGGCCCGACCGAAGTGTCTCCAAAGGAGCTCCACCACCTCGGGGTGAAGTCTCTACTCCCCGGGCCTCGGCCCCTGCCTCGACAGGATGTCCGCTCCCCGATTTAAGAATCCTGGGATATAAATCGCTCTCAGCGACCGAAGTTTCCCCTGGGACCACAACAGGATCTGGCGCGCCAGCTTGTACAATGGACGTGAGCGCAGACCCCCCTGGTGGTTTATCTAAGAGACCACAGACATGTTGTCTGACCGGACAAGAACATGATGATCTCTGAGGTCTGGGAGAAAGTGTTTCAGAGCCTGAAACACCGCCATCATCTCTAGACAATTTATATGCCATCGGAGATGATGGTCTTGCCACAGCCCGCGGGCCGAGCGACCACTCATGATCGCTCCCCAGCCCGTGAGAGAGGCATCCGTCGTCACCGTTACCCGGCGACACGGGGCTCCCAGCGCAGGTCCCAGGGACAGGAACCAAGGTTCTTTCCACATAGCCAGGGCACGGAGACCACGTCGCGTGACCTTGATCTTGCGGAGCGGGTTTCCCCTCGGGGAGAACCCCTTGGTCCTGAGCCACCACTGTAGTGGTCTCATGTACAGCAGGCCGCACGGTAACACGTTGGATGCTGCTGCCATCAGACCCAGAATTCTCTGGAATTCCTTTACAGTGAGTGAATGGCCTAGCTTCACTTGCTTGACAGTCGAGATAATCGAGGCTATACGAGCCGGCGACAGACGTGCCTGCATCGTCATCGAATCCCATACCACGCCTAGAAAAGTGGTCCGCTGAACTGGCGAAAGCACACTCTTCTTGGCGTTGAGTCTCAACCCCAACCTTCTGATGTGGGCGAGGACGGCATCTCGATGCCGAATCGCCTGATGCTCCGATTGAGCCAGAATCAACCAATCGTCGATGTAATTTAAAATGCGAATGCCCTGGAGACGCAGCGGGGCCAAGGCCGCGTCCATGCAATTCGTGAAGGTTCGAGGAGATAACGCTAGGCTGAATGGAAGGACCCGATATTGGTACGCTTCGCCCCCAAAAGCGAACCTCAGGAACTTCCGATGTTGCGGAAGGATGGAGATATGGAAGTACGCGTCTTTTAGGTCTATCGTGACAAACCAGTCCTCGGACCTGATCTGTGACACGATCTGCTTGAGAGTCAGCATTTTGAACTTAAGCTTCCCTACTGACCGATTTAAGAGGCGCAGGTCTAAAATCGGACGCAGCCCCCCATCCTTCTTTGGAACAATGAAGTACCGGCTGTAATACCCCAGCTCTCTGTCGGGAGGAAGAACTCGTTCTATCGCCCCCTTCAGTAGAGCTTTCACTTCTTGTTCCATAACCAGAGCCTGCTCGGGGGTCACCACTGTGGGCAAAACCCCCCGAAAACGAGGTGGACGCGACCTGAACTGGATCGCGTAGCCGCGTTCGATAGTCTGCAGGACCCAACGAGATATATTTGGAAGACTTCCCCATTCTACCAGAAATTCTACTAAGGGTACCAGTCTCTCGAGACTGGCCTCTGGAGTAGTTTTTAAAACAGAAACAGCGCCCTGTGACCGCGCACAGGCAGGGTTTAACGACCGTTCTGTATCGCTCCTCGGAGCAAACGAGCGTCCCTCGGGAAATCGCTCGCTGGGACCGTCTGCACCCCCCATTACAGGCAGGGTTGGCAGAACGAACCCCTGAGGGCACCGAGAGAAAGCGGGCGCCGGATTCAGCGGCGAACACCTCTGTCTCACGGTGGGGACCACCCTCAGTAGCCTGACACCAGTGGCGTCAGGACTTCTTTGACGAAGCCTTCCTGGCGACAATAACCGTCCTCAGATCGGTTCTATCCCGGGAAGACCTCGCCTGAGAACGCCGCGTCTCAGCCCAGTTTTGCTGGGGAGGAGCCCGAGACGCGACGCTCTTCTTCTGCTGCGCCCTATGCGAGGAACCCGACGGGCGGGGCTGCTCTCGCCCAGCAGCCCCCGAAGGATGAGTACGGAGGGGGAGACATTTCTGGAGCGCCGCTGCCTGCTTTTTTCCTTCTTGGAATCTCTCAATCACTGTGTTCACAGAACCACCAAAAAGACCTTCGGTCGACAGCGGCGCATCCAGGAGAAAAGCTTTATCTTTCTCCTTCATATTAGCCAGATTTAGCCACAGATGCCTCTCCGTGGCCACCAGGGCTGCCATAGAGCGGCCGACTGATCTGGCCGTCTCCTTGGTGGCACGGAGAGAAATATCTGCCGTCTGACGCAGCTCATTAATCACGTCAGTGCCGACGACCTCCCCCTCACTCATATCCTTCAGCAGATCTGCTTGATACGCCTGGAGGATGGCCATCGTATGCAAGCAAGATGCTGCCTGTCCCGCCGCTGAATAAGCTTTGCCCACCAAAACCGAAGTATTTCTGAGTGGCTTGGTGGGCAACGCCGGTGTTTTAAAAGACGATGCCGTCTCAGGAGAAAGATGGCTCGCCAAAACTTCCTCCATCCTCGGCATCGCCCCATAACCGTGTCTCCTAGACCCAGCAATATTAGCATACATAGAGGTCTGGTGTGTCAAAATTCTAGCTGACACTGGTTTGTTCCACGATCTACACACCTCGGTGTGTAGATCGGGAAAGAAGGGCAAACACCGGCGTGGAGGTAGTGAGTGTGATTTTAAAAATCTCTCATCCATTTTACTCTTTACTCTCGACTCTTGTTTCTCAACTGGCCATTCAATGCTTAATTTTTCCACAGCCCGAGTCAAAACCTCCATCAGCTCTACATTCGCGGGAGACTGGGATGGCGAGTCCCCGATCTCCACTGAGTCCATAGACTCTGCATCCACACTTTCAATATCCAGCTCCTCAGAACTGGATAATTGAAGTGATGGCGCCTCAGCCCGGGCAGGAGAAACCTGCCGCAGCGAGACCCCCGCAGCGAGAACTGAGGCACTGGATCTACCAGGTAAGGGCAGAGAAAGGGCGGGGCCCGTCTCAATCCCCGCTGATAGATCCATCTGCGATCCCCAAACACCGGCGTGGAGGTAGTGAGTGTGATTTTAAAAATCTCTCATCCATTTTACTCTTTACTCTCGACTCTTGTTTCTCAACTGGCCATTCAATGCTTAATTTTTCCACAGCCCGAGTCAAAACCTCCATCAGCTCTACATTCGCGGGAGACTGGGATGGCGAGTCCCCGATCTCCACTGAGTCCATAGACTCTGCATCCACACTTTCAATATCCAGCTCCTCAGAACTGGATAATTGAAGTGATGGCGCCTCAGCCCGGGCAGGAGAAACCTGCCGCAGCGAGACCCCCGCAGCGAGAACTGAGGCACTGGATCTACCAGGTAAGGGCAGAGAAAGGGCGGGGCCCGTCTCAATCCCCGCTGATAGATCCATCTGCGATCCCCACGACGCAAGCCTTCGCTGTGCCTCGGCAGCAGCGGGACCCGAGCCGCGGGGAGCGCGCACCGAACCACTCTCCTCGAAGAGTGCCCGGCGGGAGCGAAGTGTCTTCATGGGCAGACACTCGCAGTGCTCACAGCCGGCCCCCTCGAGAGCCGACTGAGCATGCTGCACTCCCAAACAAACAACACACAGATCGTGTGTATCCCCACCCGTGATGAAGCGAGGGCAGGGATGAACACACTTTCTGAAATTCTGCTGTTGTTTGCTCGCCATATCAATATATCGTCGCTGTCGGGCGGAAACCTCGTATGTCCAAATTTGGTCAATTTCATATTTTTTCACAAATCGATGTTATTGGTCAGTCTCCACGTGGGTCTGTTATTTTTACAAATTATTACCCAATCGAAAGTGTTGAAAATAGCTTGTGAGCAAACCTCTTAACTCCATTGGACACTTCAACTGTGTGTCAAACCTCGTAACTCCACCCCTTCTTCACTTGGCGCCGCTGCACTGCCTGGGAGCTTTGTTTGCGGCATTTTTTCTCCTCAAGATTGGAAGTCGCTGAGCAACACGTCCTCTGAGGTAAATGTCCTTATTCATGATTTAGTTATATCAATTATATAATAACAGTTTATATATTATATAACAGTTTTATCTCGATCGAAGTAATGGTAGTGCAAGTGTAATGTAGTCGAATTATGTTGATTTCTGAGGATGCTAGATTTTTCTTTCTGCTATGTCTTTGCATTAGACGGTAAGTTAGCTAAGTTAACTTATCATGTTGATTGAAATCTTCCATGGTATTGTTTCTGACGAGGAAATTTAATTTAAACCGCAAAAATTGCCTGTCGTTGACTTAGTTAGCCGCTATGTCACGTTATTGGTTTTGTCATCATGTTAGCTGCTAGGTGAGATAGGCAGCTGTGATTTTCGTGGGGCTTAAATAAAAATCTCTCGACCCCTGCTAACGCTAGTTCTGGCACTCATTTGAGGAACAACATAATAATTTAATGTGCTATGTCAGGATTGTAGCTTACAATGTCAAGGCATTCCGTCATGTTCATCACTTTAAGCAAGCTAGCTGGCCTCTTGCCTTGTTATCATACGTAAACATGCCGTATAACTTAGTGAAACGATCATTTGACCTTTATTTTATTTTTTGCAGCAACCATGTCTGTGTCCTTAAAGGAGCTCTGTCAGATGGTCAATGTGCCATATGATCAGGCAATGGCCCTAATATGACAGTGAGAGCTCTGATGGAGATAGTGTAACGTTAGAGAGAGAGGAAGCAACAGTGGTGGAGGATACAGTGGTGCATGCTGGTAGAGTGAATTTCTGAGAGATAATCATGATTTCACATGCCAAAATGAATGAGTTTTAATGCAGATGTATTTCACAACAATATAAATAAAAACAATCACACTAATTGTACGATGTGTTTGAAAAGATTTATCTGGTGGTCTGGAGGAAGAGGAGGCCTCACTCCTGGCTCCAGAGCAGGTGCAGTTTGACACGGGTAGGTTTGATGCTTTTCTACATTTTGCTTTTCTGCTTTCTGCTTTTCTACATGGATTTCACAACCATAGAGGTAACACTTTACAATAAGGTTCATTAGTTAACATTAGTTAATGTATTAACTAACATGAACTAACCATGAGCAATACATTTGTTACTGTATTTGTTCATCTTTGTTAACGTTAGTTAATAAAAATACAGCTGTTCATTGTGTGTTCATGTTAGTTCACGGTGCATTAACTAATGTTAACAAGATTTAAATAAAATATTAGTAAATGTTGAAATTAACATTAACAAAGATCAATAAATGCTGTATATGTGCAGTTCATATTAACTAATGTAGTTAACTAATGTTAACTAACGGACCTTATTGTAAAGTGTTACCACAATGTAAAATAAATAAAAATGACACTAATTCTACATTTTCTCATTAAATTGGATACGGTCCTTCAACTATAGCCCTTACTGTTGACAGTTTATAAAGATGTAACTCATTCATGCATGTTTGGTTTGTGTGTGTATTTTGAAGTTTTCCATGGTGCAGGCGATGAGGACTCGGATGCACAGCATTCATGCTCAGATGCTGAGGAAGACGCACCTCCAAGGAAAAGACTGAGAGCTTACAGATCTTACACCGTGTCCTAACTACACGCGATGTGACGCGACGCCGCGTCACGTAATAAAAGGTATCTTTTCCATGTTAATCAAAGTTTTTGTCCTAACCAGACGCGACGGCGACACGCAAAGTTTCTAATTTAGAAACGGTTCCTATTTCTGCGACGTCGTGGCTGACAGAATGAAGAAATTACACTGGTTATGAGTACACATTATTTATTTTTAGTTAAAAATTGGTCACTGTGCCACAAGATAACGGATAATTTACCTCAGATTTTGAAAACAGATAATATAGCGTTCAAAATGACTTCTATGCAAACATATACAACTGTACTTCATCACAAAATTAGTCAATGAGTATGTTTTGTTAATGTTTTGATTTTTAATAATGTTATTTCTTGATTTGATTATGTAACTTCTTACCCATTTCCAATGCGAGTGCGGGCCAGCAGTGTGCTTTCACGCACACGCTGTTCTGCGTGGCTGTGATTTTTGAGTGTGGCATCTCACAGTCGCGTCCCGTCTAGTGTGGACAGACACACTTGCTGTCGCTGGAATTTTATCGCGTCGCGTGTAGTTAGGACACGGTGTTACAGTGATTATGTTGTTGTGTTATATTTTGTGCTATTAGGTACAACAACAATGGAACGATGGACTTCAAAATCAACCACTCTGATTACTGGCATTCACATCCAAGTCACCAACTCCGAAACTCCACCTCAGACAGCCACACAGTCACCCCCACTCTATTCAGGCCGCCTGAAGATCACAGTGCTGAAATTCAAGACCTGAAGGAAGTCATCCCAAAGGACTTTCACAGCTTTTACGACAATTTACTTCACTAGCTTAATATAGGATGCAGTATTAAAGGAGAACTGGCAAAATGATCCTGGGGTGTAATAACACATTGGTATCGAGTTTTATCTCTAAAAACTGTTTAGCTTATAAAGCTAGTATATGTTGGCATATAATAAGTAAAAAGAAATCAATGCTAACAATGCTCAAAATAGCCCCACACTAACACGGTAGTATAATGAGGGTCTCTACATACAAACCGAAGCACTGAGAACTTTGTAAGTGTACAGACAGTTTAATAATAATATACTTTATAAAGACAGTAGCATCCCGGCGCCATCTTTGGAAAACAGTCTCGACCAATCGAACCACTAACGCCACACTAAGTGAGCTGAACTAAGTTCCAAGTCACAGTTTAGCTCGTAGCACAGCGTTCGTGGTTCGATTGGTCGAGACCGTTTTCCAAAGATGGCTCCGGGATGGTACTGTCTTTATAAAGTATTATTATTAAACTGTCTGTACACTTATAAAGTTCTCAGTGCTTCGGTTTGTATGTAGGGACCCTCATTAAGCTACCGTGTTAGTGTGGGGCTATCTTGAGCATTGTTAGTGGTATTAACTAGTGATTTCTTTTTACTTATTATATGCCAACATAACATTATAAGCTAAACAGTTTTTAGAGATAAAACTCTTTACACTCGATTATCATGAAAACAAATCCCAGAGAAAAGTCGACTCGGTACCAATGTGTTATTACACCCCAGGTTCATTTTACGCAGGAGTTCTCCTTTAATACAGTCAATATAATGGCAATGTAACCACACACAGGGTCTCACAGATACATGCACACAAACAAGGGCTAACCATACTCACAAACACAAATACACAAGCCTTAACTGTGATTTTATTATATTATAAATATTATTTTATATTAATATTATATTTATTTTATTGTTAAACTATGATATTAGTTATTGATGTATTTTAAATGTCTACTTTTTACTAGGCTTATTATAAATGTGCATTGAAGTTTTTAAATGTATAAAATACTTGAATTGAATGTTTTGGATACCACCATTAAATTATTGTTTTTATTATTATTATACTGACTCAAAGTTTCCTCTCGTGGCACTGTGCATGTAAAATAGCCCAACTATTGTTTTTATGGGAGAAAAAACTGAAAAAAACGTCTACTGGCGTCGAGTAAGCCTATCTTTGGATAACTCTGTCTCTGTCTGTTTTTTAGGTAATAACGAGTGAAAATAGTTAGGTTAGATACATTTGAGTAGGCCTGTTTTGTTAAAAATCGAAAGCTGTAATGCTTAGATGCAGAAGGAAGCCCGTAAGCCACAAAGGTAAGTTTGTGTGCAGATTAGGCTCATTTCCGCCTATTAGACAGCCTAGTCAGCTCGTTTTTTGTGTGTATTGCATCACTTATAGATCATAACCTTTTAAAATAGAGTTTATGAAGATATATGTAACCACAACCATAAGCTTAGATTAGCTCTTAAAACCTTGTCTCGTCAAAAGGCTCAACGCGACCGCGGACTTGCATGAACACTGCTGGCAGCAGCAAGTCTGCGTCGTTCCACAGCGAGTCTCGTATCTCCCTGCTCCCAAGTCATAAACCTCGGATCTCCGATTAAACATGATTTTGGGGAAATGTTGTGTTAATGTTGGTACACAACTGTATATAACAGCAATATAAGGTATAATACCAACTTTAACGATACAATGTTTAATAACTCAAAAAATACGCAGTTTTGTTTATTTCCTGAAAAATGATGGTTTTGGAGATACGAGGATTCCGCCCGACAGCGACGATATACAATATTAGACAGACAGACAAAATTCATACATAGAGCGCTTGTGAAGACTCAGAAGCTGTTGCGCTTGTGTTTCGGGGATGCTTTATAGTTTCCTGGTCGATACGTCACCCCGCCTATGACGTTCCGTCTCGCCATTGGACAGATTTCATACGTGCTTCATGACTCGTCACGCAGAGGCGTTCCCACGGCGTTTACACGCAGCTCGAAGTTCCCTGAATTGGAACTAACAGGTACAATATGACAATTCCTAATAATATTATAATGGTGTTTGAAAATGTAAAAACGGTCCAATCTTGCCATAGAAATGATTCTATCACGCACATGAGTCCAGGTATACTGTTTTTGCATGCCATTTAATCTTCTCCAAACATCACACAGTTCATGCATATTAACAAATTGAATCAATCGATTTCTAGAAGGTAAATGAGGTTCTAAATGATTCACAGTGCAGTTAAAATCACCTCCCAAAAACAAAAACTCTTCTTGATTACATTTTTGCAACACAGAACACAATATATTTAAAAACACCATTCTCTCTATTGCGGAGACAGGGCAGTACACACAAATAAAAATAATAACATTCTTGTCATAGTTTACTCTTACTTTTAAGAGTCTACCTTTTACTATTTCTTCTACTTGGAAAGAATGTGGGTTAAAATTGTTCACAAAACAAATGGCTACTCCACCACTAAGTGAAGTATTATGACTTAAGAAAGAAAGACCATCCCATTCTCTAGTCCAATCAGAAGCATTTTTTAGATCACTATGAGTCTCTTGCAGCATCACCACATCTAACTTATTTTGCTTCACAAATTCATATATTTCCATTCTTTTCTTAATATCTCTTACTCCATTAATTTTCAAGGAAACAATATTAATTTCATTCATTTTTAAAAGAAAAGAAGAAAATAAAAAACAAGCGAAAGCTGATAAAAACAAAGCTAGAAACCCATGTGTCAGTTTTAGCTTTTTAGCTATTATCATTTGCAAGATCAGGGTTTAAAATTCGTACATGAACATTTTGGTCTTGTCAACAAATTGTTTGATGTCTGGAAAATATTCACAGACACGTACTCCTCTCTTATTTTTTGTTGCTTTGAGCAACATTTTAATGTCTTCTACCTCATAATCACGACTGGATGAAGCTCTTTGGGAAAGGCTGAAATTTGAATCTGAAGACTCATTGCCACTTTCCATCCCTTCTTGATCATCATCATCATCAACTACTACATGTGTTTTTTTCTGTTTGGCACTTTCAACTTCACTTGAACTTTTCCTTTTACCTGGAACTTTAAACTCAGCTGTATCTGATTCTAAATCAACAGCACATCACACATTTCAATTGATTGACACTTCACATTACTCTCATCCGTCAAAACGGACTCAATTACATTGCTGACTCCTACACTCACTACAGCAGTAGCATTCATCTCATTCCCTTGCAAAGATACTGGTTCAGTGGTATCATCAGGAATTACATTTTGAGCTTCAGAGAACCCACTATTCTCTACGACAGTCACATATTTGATCTTTCACACTCAGAATGAGAGCATTAGAAGGTCCTGCTTCAGCCCTTTCATCACTATTTGGACTAACCTCCGTCATGCTTTGCACATCAGTCGATGAGTGATCTTTATTCTTTTTGGGGCAAGTGCGAATCAGATGGCCTACCCCACCACAGTTAAAGCACTTCATTTTATCAGTTGTAGCATAGAAAACATAATCAAAGTTGTCAACCTTAATATTAAAAGTCAAGTCTAATTCTTCACTGTCTTTCAAAATCATGAAGACAAATCTTCTAAAAGAAACTACATGTTTTAACAGTGGTGAAGCAGTACCAATGAGGATTTTCAGGAATGAATCGGTGAAACCAGCTTTCCATAACGGGACAAGATCTTAACCAAAGTTTCATCAGAAACAAAAGGTGGAATATTAGACAGTGTTACTTTGTTTGAAGGTGTCGAAAGAGGTAGAACCGGTGTGAAGAGATTATTTATAACAATCCCTCTTTCCACTAATTCATTTGCATTCTCAACCGACTTCAAAAAAACCACAACAGCACTATTCATTTTAGACGCTGACAAAATACTGTCATGCCCAACAACTTCTCCCATTGCCAAACAACAATCTTCAACACTGACCGCGGACGCCACTTTAACACCGTGACGCCGCGTGAGATTCTTTAAAACACCAATTCGTGAGTCAGCCATGGCCACGCAAGGGGGAAACCCCGCGCGACCCAAAAAAGACCAAAAACAAACTTAAAGGAAAACTCCACCGTTTTTTGAAATATGGCTTATTCACATTCTTTCCTACATTTAGATATGTGTGCAAATTCATTTTTGTCTCAGTGCATGCATTGTTTTAGTTTGACAGGGTCGGCGCTAGCTTAGCTTAGCACAATGAATGGATTCCCTTGTTGCCAGCTAGCATGTCCTGAGTAAAAGTGGTTAAAAAAAATAAACAAACCCACGTAATTACTTCTTGTGGCCTGCGTATTCACAACGAGTACAAATAGCGACGCAGATTAACACTTGGCGATTTCCTAGGCAGATATTGACTTGGGACTATATTAGGGGGAAGCACAGGCGAAGCACTACTGCTAAGGCGAATCACTGCTACTTGGGCGCAGAGACGTCACGCAACACATGAAATCGCACGACTTCCGTAAACATACCGGTGTTCAGCGCGTAAAAAAAAAAAAAAACTGAAGAAGAACATAGCGGCGCGACCTGCAACAAGTGTCTTCGCTTTAGGAGTATTTATTTTGAGAAGTTACAGCAAACATGGTAATTACCTGCATAGCAAAAGGTTGTGAGAACAAGCAAAGAACTACACGAATGTAATGTTTCACAGAAACTGAGAAATAAATGGCTAGCTGCTCTGGAGATCTGTAGCCTACATCAACGCCACTCGACAAAATAAAACAGTTTTGTTTGCGAACAGCATTTTGCACCAGAGGACTAACGTTACCCTTGAAAAAATGGAATATGTGCCCAGAAAGACGATAAAGTTACTACGTCTGAAAGATACGGCTGTCCCATCTATTTTCAAAGCGCAGGCTGAACAAAGTAAGTTCTTTTATTACTCTCTTCCTTATGTTTATCGGTGTCTTTATTCTGTTGTAAGATCGATGCTGAGACGCTTTATCTAGACTACGAACGTCATGTTGAATTCTACCTGTTTAGCATGAACAACCTGTTATCGTTATAACTTACCTATATCCATTTGGTCCAATCGGCGTGGCGCGTTTTTTTTCCAGTTCACCTTATCGCACCGGAAAAAAAACGAGTACTGCA